AATAGTGATATGATGGGAAATGTGTGGTTGAAAAAGAAGATAAGATTATTGATGTGATAGAAAATATTATTTTATTGAAGAATGTGTGGTTGAAAATGAGAATTGATTTACTGTTGAAAATGAGAATTTTTACCAAACACACTCATAATTTTTTTGAGAATAGATTTTGTGAAAAAAATATTTTTAGAATGTGTGGTTTATGAATCCATGTGCAACATTATTTTATTGAGTGCAGTTTGAGAAAAAAAAAATATTTTTTTAAAAAAATAGGGGTCATGGGCTTATTCAATCAACATCATTCGCAAGGCCAGAAGCTTGTTTGATACAATAGCACACATGCATGCACAGATCATTCATACCAGGTTTAAGCACAAAATGCTTGTTTGAGAAAAAAATAAATAAAATTATAGTGAAGGAGTAATGGGTTCACACGAAATGTGTAGATAATAAGTAAGCACGTAGTAGTTTGAATTATAAGGAGATTTTAATAAAAACAAGCACATATACCAAGACAGCAAAATCTATAAAGTCACTTGTCGATATTTTGAAACACTTCCGTTCAACTCGAATTCCTTGAACTTGAAAAGGTGTTATAAGGTACACTCTATTAAGCACATCCATTAACCAAAAGAATAAATTATTATCCTATAAGAAGGGAAAAAAATGTTGTAAACTGAGAATTCATACTCGTTCTCGATGCATTTGTTGGAACGTGTCTACACGACCATTTAGAAGAAGTTGGGAGATCCATAGCTTATCCATTAGAGGATACAATAGCTTATTTTTGAGGTGGTTTATAAGCAATACCAAATGATTTAGCTCATGTTTGAATTAGCTAAAAATTAGATTTTCAGTACATTTTGATAAAAGTTAATGAAATATATAACTGAAAATGTATAAAAGTTATTATGATTCATTTGATAAAAGAAGAAATTGGAAATTAGAGAGAGGAAATAAAAATAATCGATGAAGTAATGAAATATGAACTATTAAATGAGTTATAAAATTTAATTATTAATACTAATTGTATTTTTACAAGGATTAGTAAATTGAGAATTGAGAAATGTAGATGCTAGAATGAATTATAGATAAATTGTAGAGAGTTTGTGTGAATAAGCCCATGTTTAGTACACATTCTTTAAAAATACATTCTTTCAAAACTCATTTTCAACAACATATTTTTTAATAAAATAATATTTTACATCACATCAATAATTTTTCCTTATTTTTTAATCACATATTTCCTTTCATATCACTATTTAAAATATATTTTTTCTCAATAATATTCATAAAATACACCCAGAGAAAAATAGAATTGAAAAATTAGTGCGTGTGATGCACATTTTTTAGGAGTTTTTTGTGATGTGATGGAGAATATGTGATTAAAAAGAAGGAAAAGTTATTGATTTTGGTGGAAATATTATTTTATTAAAAAATGTGCGTTGAAAATGAGTAGAAGAATAAAAATAAAAATGAAAATATGGCTCAAATAGGAGCTAGATATTTATAGAGTAAAAAAAAAAAAAAACAAATATGACGGTAGCTGTTACGGATGGCAAAAAGGCTCATTGGCTCGGGCTGCCCGTGGCTCGACTCGAAAAAACCCTAGCCGAGCCCCGCTCGTGGCTCGGGCCGAGCCCCATTCTGGGGCAAAGGCTCGAGCCCGAGTGGCTCGCCGAGACAACTCAGCCAAGTATAAAAAAAAATGTTTAAAAAATAATAATATAGATACCTGCCAAACGCAAGCAGTTATAAAGCTCCCAGCGTTTTGCAGGCCACTATCACAATTGAATATTTAAAAAAAGAAGGAAAAAAATCGAGCTGGCTCGACTCGTAAAGGCCCGAGTCAAAAGTTAGGGTCAAACTTGAAATTTTTAGCCAAACAAAAGATTGGCTCGATTCGGACAAAAAAAGCTCAATACATTTTTACTCGAGCCGAGCCCGAGCTTCGAGTTTCAACTCGGCTCGGCTCGCCCCGCCCCTAGTAGCTACTAACTGCCCTATTTGGCCTAGAAATGACATCGTTGATCACATTTAATCGCATGAGGGTAGCTCGTAAGCTCGCCTCCGGAGCCAAGCCTAGTTTGATTCGTCCAAATTTTTTTGGACTCATCGAGTGGTCATGAATCGAGCGATCGAGGCTGAAGAATTTAATTTGAACTAAGCCCCAGTTTGGTACTCATTTTAATGAGTTTTTTTTTCTTGGAACACATCTCATTTCCCTATA